TGTAGGGGGTGGGGGGTAAAATACCTTGTAGCTGGTTGACACGTATTTGCCAGCATAGCATGGAGAGGCTGTGAGGGGGGGCTGGCACAAGAGTAGGAAAGAGAGAGATAGAGAGAGAGAGAGAGAGAGTCCAGTGTGTGGGGGGTCTCTCAGTCATAATTCAGGTCTCCCTCAGTGAAGCTGCAGCGTGGACACAGGACGTCAGATTGATCCATCCGTCTCTCTACAACCACACTGTAATAGCAGAGCAGAACAGTAGGGGGAGCTCCACCTGGAAGTTTATTTCTTTATGATTGTAGATGAAAAGAGTGAAGAAAAGTGAGCAGCGACCAACCAGCTGAACACAAGATGACAGTGAGTACCAGTGACCTCAGCGCTGTGGCAGCATCTGGTCGTGTGTGTGTGTCTGTGTGTGTGTGTGTGTGTCTGTGTGTGTGTTGTTAGTACAGAGGATCCAGTAAATGTTCAAAAAAGCAGCTGTGATCATTGAACTGTCAGGGTGGATCAATCAGAGGTGACCTTTGACCCGGAGAACTGCAGTTGCACCAACATCCAGTCTGTAATAAATTACATTCACTCAGCATGGGGGGGCGATGGTGAGCAGCTGAAGAATGTAATAATGTGAGAACTAGAAGTGTGTTGATGAGGCCTGACCTTTAGCACCAACACGCCAACAAAACACGCACAATTAGAGAGAGAGAGAGGGCGTGCAAACCTGGGCCAACGTTTCCCTCCAGGACTGTCAACAAATGATGGGAGCAGAACCTCTAAGAACTCTGGGAACTGTTGTTTTCTGGGGTCATCAGCAGCTCTAACTCTTTATACTGTCGGTCGACTGACGGTCGTACCAAGTCATTAAATGATATTAACGATCACATCAGTGATAATTATGGATTAGAACCAATCAGAACGGAGCTTTGTGTCATGGTGTAAATGGGATTTTTCAGTTCAAACTAAAGATTTTAGAGATATTATAGATGAACAACAATAATAATAATATGATTTTTCATGTCTGACAGACAGTTTCAGATCTGTGTTATTCCTCCGACTGTTCCGACTGTTCCGACTGTTCCGACTGTTCCGACACTCCATGTATCTGTGAACAGCGGCTGTGACAAGGACATCCCAGAATACGACCTGGTCAGAGTCAGTTATGTAACTCTGTTGACCAGGTTTAACAGGTTTAACTAGTAACTAGTGAAACAAACACAGTTGAAACAGGATCAGAGACTGACTGTCCCAGAAATGAATACTACGAGTACTTCAACAGTATTACAGCTCCTACTGACGAGTACTTCAACAGTATTACAGCTCCTACTGACGAGTACTTCAACAGTATTACAGCTCCTACTGACGAGTACTTCATCCACTCAGATACTGGACAGTTTGACCTCTGACCTGAGGGACAGGTTCATGATCAGTGTCACTAAAGAGAGCGTGTGTGTGTGTGTGTGTGTGTGTGTGTGTACAGGCCACAGCAGCAGCCCAGGACCTGGACGAGCTGTGTTACCTGACAGCACAGTCCATGCCCAGTCTGAAAGTACTGGACCACTTCAAGGTGGTCAAACTCCTGGGTCAGGGGTCCTATGGAAAGGTCATCCTGGTTGTACATAAGAAGAGAGGTCAGTGTCACTGTATGTCCCCATGTAAACAGCATGAACAGTATGAGTGTGTGCATTTTCTATTAAAACCCTCCTGGTGCTAAGACCTACACCAGGGTGTGGGTTACACTGTGGGCCGCATCCCACAGCCTAATCTGAAGTAATGACATGTTAGCAGTGCGCTGCAGGACATTCATTCTTGGCTCATGTTTCAGTCCAGTGGTGCAGTGGGCCACAGCAGCGCTGCATGAAGGCGACGACAGCTCCAGGATCTCCAGCGCCGTCTCAGGGATAAGGTTCCAGTTCCAGGGAACATCCCTGGAACTGGCTCTTCTACAGGGGCCTTATGTTGGGCCTCAGTGACACTGATGGACAACACTCACATTCCATTTCTCAGGGCCTTACTGATGTGGACTTAAGGTGGTTAGTGCTCTCGCCTTACAGCAGGATGGTCAGGGGTTTGATTTCCTGGATGTTTTCTGTGTGAAAAA